ACATAAAGTCATTTGAGATTTTTCGATTTTCTGTATTAGATAATGTTTATATATAATTGGAAGCTTGATATTAATACCATTAGGCATTTGATTTAGAAGCCAAGCCATGGCTACGCGTAAATTCAAAGTTTTTAATGCATATCAACGCATTATTTTTATTTTTGTGGCTGAATGGACGTTTCGTGGCGCTAAATTATCGATGGGATATTACATGGACACCCAAGTACTTTCAGTAAAGACATAAGTATATTTAAAACACACACACACACACACGCGCACACAAGCGTGCTACTAGTTTGGCATCTCGGTCCCACCCTTTTACTGTTGAAACTGTTAAATGTATATGCACTTCCTGACAGTGGAACTACCTTCCTCTTACTTACTTCCCTGATAACTATAATTATCAAACATTTTAATGTAATGTCACTTGACATCTTCTGATGCCTTGATCTTGATTCCAGTTCTTCTCTTTATCCTTTCCTTAATCACTCTCTGTAATTCCTTGTGTACTAGTGGTACTTCCACCTTGTTTGAGGTGAAATGCTTAAAACTTCTCTCTCTCTCTCTCTCTCTCTATATATATATATATATATATATATATATATGTAGTGAAATAGTCTTCCAGTCAAATTTGAAATAAAAAAATTAAATACAATGTCAATCGTTTGTCTTCTTAATTTCTGTTCTTTTATCGTTCTGACTCTTTATTAACGTTTTATTTTTCTCTTACCCTCTCCTTACACCTTAGTGACTTTATTGCCTTACTTAGGGTTGAAATATATATCGATGCAATCATGAGTACTTTTATTCGCCTCAGTCCTTTAAGTACCATACGCGATACACGCTTGGGCGATCCTTTCTCATTCGATTAGACAGAAGATTATTCCGCAGTTGGCTACTGTTTCTTACTACAGTAGACTAGTTGCCAACAAAAGTTATAGGATCCACTCTGTTCTGCTATTTAACCCATAGCTTGGGTATCTGCCTGTATTTCTGAGTTGAGGTATTATGTACACTATTAACATTATTCCGACTATTGCCCTCACCTTTGTCGCCATGTTTATCACAACGTTTCGGCCGTTGTACGTTCCGGCCTTCTTCAGGTGGTTGGAATGTCGTACTGAACCCTTTATTTCGCTCACTGGGGTAGAATGTTCTAGTTCCATGTGCCATGTTTAATGGATATCAGTTATCTCCTGTTAATTCCCCTCTCAAAGTTCTCGACCGCCTTAACAAGGTAATAAACTCACACTGTTTGGGTCCTGTCACTGGATCTAACCAACGCCTTTATCCACTGTGCCATGTGTCCTCAAGGACACATGGGATAGTGGATAACAGGCGATAACTGACATCCATTAGACATGGCACGTGGGACTAGAACAGTCTAACCCAGTGAGCGAAATAAAGGGTTCAGTTCGACATTCCAACCACCTGAAGAAAGCCGGAGCGTACAACGGCAGAAACGTTGTGATAAATATGTCGACAAAGATGAGGACAATAGTTAGAATAATGTAAATAGTGTACAATAGCTTGGGGTAGAAGAGATGAATTCATACATTTCCCGTGAGTGAATATAACGAACCTGATTAAAATTCGAACCTGGCTCTCCGATTTCTTTAATGCCAAGCCTTTATCCATTACACCATAGGGGAAAATCATTAATAAGTCCATTGACGAAAAGGTATGTGTTTTGAGAAAGAACTCATTGAAACCTAACGCAGTAATTTGAGTCCGTGTATCATCACACATGTAGGAAATCTTTTTATCCAATTAATTTGCTTTTCCCTCCTATCTTAGTGGATATATGGCCATCACGCAAGCGTAGAAATCCGCCTTTTGTGAAATAGAGCACCAAACGCGATAAGTGGTTGATCAAGGAAAAAAAACTAAAGAAAAAAACAAAAAAAAACAAAAAACAAAAAAACAAAAAAACAAACAAAGCAAACAAATTGTGTCTTCATTTATAAAAAGAACAAAAACGTTGCAATCAATCAATTCGGGAAAATTGCTGAACGATACAAGCTTAAGAATTTCAATCCGGAAATAATTGGATATTCTGCAAAATAAGGCACAGGATAAAGAAGGATGCTTTGTTTTGTTTTTTTTTAGAAATGCATTCCAATAATAAATTGTATAATATTTCTAAACAGGGCAGTGGTATTTTTTAATGGGCCATCTTTTGTAGAATTACCTGTTATATTTTCCAGCAATTGATAATAGAAAAAGAAAAAAATATGAAACAAATTATAAAAAAAAAATGAATGTTAGTTTTTATATCTTGAATAAAGGCGCTTAAAATTTGAATTTGAATAAAAGTAAGCGGGTTTTGCCTGAATAAAGATACTTATAACCTGAATAAAAATACATAGATTGTGAATAAAGGTACTTATAACCTGAATAAAAGCGCGGAAGATTTTGACTGAATAAAGGTACTTATAGTCTGAATAAAAAATACATAGATTTTTATTGAATAGTGGTACTTATAACCCAGTATAAACTACATAAGTTTTGACTGAAAAAATACGTAGGTCTAACCTGAGTATAGATACTTATAGTCTGAATAAACATATATAGACTTTACTTAAATAAAAATACAGCTTGTCTGAAATTATTATGCAAATCAAATAAACCTCAATAACTCAAAAAGTTCTGAACCAATATTTGTCAAATTTAAACTCATTTCTATGCCTAGTAAAATATTTAATATCCGTCAAAGGACAGAGTCGCAACTGAAGAAAATTATACTGAGATGTGCCGGCCCTGGGGCACAGCTGCCCGAGGCCGCGCCTTCTCATTGCATTAGCGAGAAGGAACAGTGCACGCACAGAGGCCAGCGCAACCGACGGTTGCGTGGGCTCGGGGAATTTTTGTTCCTTGCCCGGGTGTACGCGCTCGGACTCCCTACATTAAACCAACCTTGTGTCACAATCTGACCTCGTGGGGGGGGGTGAGTAAATATCTAAAATATTTAGTTAAGTTTTCTGCCATTATTCATGGTTAGTTGGAATTTACAAAAATGGACTGACTGAAGTTATTATGCTGATCAAACGAATATTAGCTTAAGAACTTTGATACATGGGTAAAGGGAAGGATCTAACAACTGCTGACAAACAAATAACAAAGTTATTACGTGAAGGAATATCCACATTGGAGATATCAAAGGAGTTTTGCAGAGATCGTCGAACGATAAAAAAGTCTGTTGAAAATATAATTTGAGAACTCAAAGCAAAGGAAAAAGGCTTTTAGAGTTTGCTTCTCCCAGATGAACATGCAATGTCGATCACTATCTACACTCGACCTGATTACTCTTTTCTCTTTCTGCTCATCATTAACGTTTATGTTCCTAATTCTTTCACACCTTTTAACCCCTTGCGTCTTAGCGGCATTATTGCCTTGCTTGCGGTGATTCCGATTAACAAAAAAAAAAAGCTTTCAGTGTATCTATATATTATATTCGCATGAGTTTTTCTTTTTCAAACGTGGGATAGTGGCGTGACAGAAATGTATTGTATGCGATGCGACACGTAATTCGGTTGGGACTAAGAAGCCACCGAATGGGAAACAAGACACGTCTTTACACTTGACATTACATAAACTTGTGTGTAAAGACATAAAGAAAACTGCAACTTTGTGCTCTCTCCTGTCTTTATCAAATGCCACCTAGTAGGCGTTACGAAAAGTCCTCTGGCCGACAAGACGGAGTGACCCACAAAGATATTTAGATTCCTAATAAAATTAATAAGGCTTTAGCTGAATAAAAATAGACAAGTTTAAAATTCAAAAGTCATGGTGAGGGTTTGAGCGTACCGTTGTTGTTCAACCTATTGACCCCGCCAGGTTATGCGCCCTCTTCCAGAAACTGCAACTAAGGTCCGCTCAACACAGTTGCTGTATAAACCACAGGTGGGCTCTGTTGGTTTTGAACGAACAGAAATGTGCCTGAACAGGCGTCTGCAACAGGAATTGGCTAGCCGCCATAGCAGACAGGTGTGCTTGGCAGTGAACATGGTTAGAAGACCGAGTTTCTTCAGGTATATCCTTCGTTGATAAGGAGCATCTTTAGTGAAATATCCGTTTTTTTTTTTAAAGAATTTCACCCCAAGCAAGGCGGAAGTGTCATGGTTTGCAGGGTGCTACACAGAGTAAATATATATGGGAAAAACTGTGTATTGGTGAAATAAGGAAAGGATAAATCATGAACAGGGTTCAAGACATCAGAAGATGGCGATTGACGTTGCATTTAAATCTTTGAGGATTGTAGTTATCAGGGAAGCAAGAAAAAGGAAAGGAATTCCACAGGTGAGAAGTGCGAGAAAAGAAGCTGTTGGAGTATAAGTGTCGGTTACATTTAACTATTTCAACGGTAAAAGGGTGGGACCTAGATGCCAATCTACTAACACCAAGGAAAAAAAACTCGACAGAACAGTAGCCATGAAGATATTTGTAGAAAAGTCAGAGGGACTGAAATAAGATTTGAATATACTGAATATATTTGAAATAACCAAACATGACAATAGAAGCAGCATCCTCGAGTAATGGTTAACGAGTCGACAACACAATGACTTGTGAGTTAAAAATAAGTATTCAAAACTTAAACTTTTTTTTTCCCAAATTCCTCCACGAAAACATCAGGAGATATTTAGATGAGTTCGTTGTTTCATATTTTCCCCAATTCGCAGCAGAATATAATCAATCTGATGTCCTGAACACGAATGCGATTTGCCGATTGATTGATTTATCCGTTTTTTATGGCTTATCACCCCTTTTCAGGTTATTTAAAGCCAGAAAAAACATTTTTTAGGGTGCAAGAATCATTTTGGGGGAGATAATAATGATTTAGTTATACAAGTTTTACTAATTGGATGGGGGAGAAAATGTGAACATTCCTACCTTCCCCAAGGATATTTGCTCGAATATAAAGAACACACCTGGAATTGGAACACGGCTTTCTGATTAACAATTCCCAGCCATTATCCATTACTTCACCCGCACATCCAAACTTACAGTACCTGATATTCTCAAGCGGTCACCCATCTAAGTACTGACCAGATTCGACTTTGCTTAACATCGGTGAACGTAGCGGAATTGGTGTTTCAACATGATATGGTCGGAAGCCTCGATTGGAATTAGGATGCTACCAACGAATATACTTTTGATAAATGTTTTCGATAAGGTTAGTGAAATTATTGATCTAACTTTCGCTAACGGGAAATTAGTTTCTGGATGAGAAACACGTAAAATTATTGGACAAGTATAGATTAGATTCTGGTTTTCAAAAACGACAGAGATCATGTTGGAGTAAACGCCATTTCATTTTCTTATTAAGATACGTTCGATTTGTTATTAATACATACATACATTAATAATGGTTGGCTATCCGTTTCCTAGCACAACCATCTGCTCAGGTGATTAACCAATCCCTGTTGCAGACAACTACTCAGGCGCATTTGTGTTTGTACAACACCTATGGTTTATATTGCAATTATGTTGAGCGGATTTTAGTGACAAATTCTGGGAGACAACGCATAATCTGGCATGATCAACACTTTGAAGAAGGTCAGTACGCTCAACCCTTCGGTCACGATGACTTGTGATTTCGTGCTAGCACAATCATCGACGCATACTTGCATATATGTGCATTGTGTTTGAGCTTGTTGTTTGGAATTTGCCATAATTATAACGGGGGGGGGGTGCTCATTATCAGAATTAGGGCGTTTATAGTTGTAGACAGTGGCATCAACACAGCATGGTGACTGCCAGTTTCACGCTTCATTGCCATCTTCAAATCAATATTATTAACATTCTCTCTCTCTATCTCACTCTAAATATCCCTCCCGCTCTATCTCTTCCCGTATCTAATGATGGTTTGCCCTAGGGAATGCAGGTTCGAATTCTACCGGAGAGTGCATATTATTGTAAAAAAAAATTTTCTCAAATATTCAGGTCGGTGGACGAAAAAAATATACTGTTTAATAAATAAACGGAGCGTCTATTCAAATACGAGTATCCACTAAAAATAATGTTTAAGTAATACGATGTACTTTCCCGTTCATTTTGAAAACGTCATTCAATTTTTATGTTTGGGTCGTACGTGACACTTCAATTCCTCATAGCAACAGAAATACATATATTATTTGAGGCATTAAAAGAACATAAGGAAAATTTATTCCTTTTAAAAAATGTATTCCTATTATTTTCCTGAAGAAGGTGACGAAACCGGAAACTTGTATAGCAGAAATATAAGAATAAAATATAATATATATACTAAAACAAATCCAAATTATAACCAAAAACGTTTGCAGTTTCTCTCTTTTTTTAAAATATACATTTTTCTCTCGTTGGAACAACTATAACCGTTTATATATATATATATATATATATATATATATATATATATATATATATATATACCCTTATGCAAATTGCAAATTAATTGAAACAACCGCTTTAGTTTCCTTTCTTTCACCATATGGTCAGTTTTAGAACCACTGGAGTGACAGGGTGTAATCGATTTCTATTTTTTTCTCAGATTAGGTCACTTGCAGTGGCGTGCAGTAGTAAGAATCTATTTTTGGGGTGTGTGGTGGAATTTGTTTGGCCTTGAATAATATTGCGTCATCCTTGTTTGCATCAGATTTTCATCACGCCCAGACACTCTCGACTGTCGATTGTCTTACGGCCATTGTCTGTGATGGACGTTACTCCAAAGAAGCGTACAAAAATTGCAACGCTGCACGAACACACTGGCAAGCCTTAACGGTGAGCAAATCAAAGTACTATCGACTGGCCCGGAAACTCTCCTGATTCAAATCCAATCGAGAATCTGTGGTCAATCTGCAAGGAACGACTTCGTGGAATAGACATAAGAAGTACTAACATGTGTACTGGGTCATATTTCATTGGAAAAATAGCAAATAATAACGGAATTATTCGTTTTGTTTCAATTAATTTGCAAAAGGATACATGTATATGTGCGTGTGTGATTCGCAGATAGTGCTGTTTCGCAGCTCCTCAGTGCGGCTAGACAACCGAATGCCTCAAGGCCGGATCGAAACCCAAGGCGCTTTGGTGTCAGTCAGATCTTCTACCAATGAGCCATCTTCACTCGACAGAATGCGTCAGCCAAATCTAGCACATTGCTTTTTTTTTTACAAACGTAAACAAACACCAAGCAGCCACAGTGCTCCATTCATTTTACTGAAGAGCTTCTCATTTACGGAGGTGACCGTTGTTTTTAGATTTAGCTTGTTATTCAACAGTGCTCAATTGAAAATATATTTTCAAGAGCTATATATGGAATATTTAATCAACACTGATTGATTGGCTAATACTAATTTGTATTGATTTAAAAATTGGTACCATATTTCATAAAACCAAACTTTAGCAGTTTTTCATATTAAAAATTTTAAGTTGATCTTTATCGTCTTTATAAACAACAAAATGATGGTTTATTAAACCTTTAAATAGTCTACTTTCCACCCGCCAATTTGATTTTAAATCTTCTAAAATATTATTAACAACGAACATACATACATACATTTTTTAGAACTGTATATGACATTTTTCTTTTTGGTCAAGTTAGGAAAATATTAAATTATTTTCTTTCATCAGAAATAAAAATACGCTCATATTATGAAACTGGGTAAAAAATCAATGAAGATGCAATGAAAATAAGAAAAAGGAAAATAGATTAGAAGTCTGTCTAATCATATTTATCAAATGGTGCATTACATAAAAATAATTCACACATGTTATTTTCTAGATTTTTATTGATTGATCATTGCATGCATAATTTATAGGTTTTTCTTTATTTAAAAGTGTCAAGCGACTGTAAAAACAACCTGAGTACATAATAACGAAGCAGAGAGCTATCAACCGCGTTGCATCTGGAAATCAAAAACAATTGTTGTTATATTTTTCGGTTCTGAAGTGTTTTTTTAAATTCCCATTGAAACAATCCCCAAACAAAACCTTATTAGCATGGCGTCTATCATGAAGTGTCGAGTATCGCTTTTTATTTTTCTACTTGTGGCTTTATGATGTCGTCGACAGCCATATGCAATCAATGAAAACGTGGAGTCTACAGAATTATTTACTTAAAGATTTTATTATTCCAGAAATCTCTTATTAATATATTTGCTTGAATATGTAATCACTGAAAAAGCGATATCAGAAGGTGATTATAAAATATATTACAGAATCGCCTATCTGGCCGTGATTCTCGTTAAAAGTGTAGCTTGAAAATGATAGCTTCACAAATCGACTACAAAACGGCGTATCTGGTTAAAAACTGGTTGAAAAGCGAGAAGGAGTGTATCTTGTTTTAATGCTTCCAATTTCGGAAAATGTATAATGTACCCGACTGTAGACTCCCCTTAAGAAACCATATAATAAAATCTCCATGTTGGTTATAGCTGGCTTACTAGATAGAGGCACAGTGGAGTAATGGATAGTGGCTCGGATTGAGGAATCGGAGAGCCGAATTCGAATTCCAGTCGAATTCATTTACGTGCTAATTCCGTTGGGAAAGGTATGAATCACCGCCTCCCCCCCCCAGCTATGGATAAATAGACCGGGTTCTATAGCCTTGGACGACGAATGGTCTACTGTAAAAAGAAATGGCAGACTACTACAGGAAAAAAATCTGCCTCGTCAGTCATGTATCGACATATACATGATCGCCTAAGCGTGTATCACACATGGCAAAAAACTGACAGTTGCAGTTACGACCATATTTTGATTAGTAATCAGCCTGCATATGACGATAATTACATCGGGCAAGAAGGCTTTTGATTGGGAGATTATAGGCTTTGAGGAGCGTGGAATCACCTCTTAATTGTCGTTTTTTTCTAGGTCCACCCTGACCCGGTGTGGTAGCAACTGTTAGAGTCACAGCTATGGGCAAATAGTGATCCCTCCCCGCCAAACAAAAATCAGCAGTACATTTTTTATAGTAAAATTACTAACAACGTATATTTATGATCTACAATATATATATTGAAAAACAACGAAAGCATAAAATTATGTACAAAATATATGTAGTTGAAAGCATAGAATTACGCAAAAAATATTTAAATTTCAGCATTAAATAACCCATAGAGGTGTCGATATACCATCAAACAATATCAACCAACAACGATTAATAAAGTATAACCAAAAAGATAACGACTGCGGCCGCCGACATTGAATATTTATAATACTTCTGCTTCCTGCCATATCACCGATAAGCAACGTTGAACCTGGTCATTTCCTAGATGGGTGACAGCTCGGGAATGTCAGATGTTGTAACCGTGGATGTGCGGGTGGTGTAGTAGACAAAGACTCAGAATGAGAAATTGGAGAACCGAGTTCCAATTCCTGTTTCTTAATTCTTTGCTTAGCTTTTGGAATGCATCTTTCGCTATCCCAATGCGTCAATGGATTTCGGTATTGCACTTTCCGTTTTCTGCTAAAACACTTGCCAGATATTTAAATTCAGTGTATTTCAACATATGATACCCGAAAAAAATCAAAGGAGATTTGCAAAGAACCAATCTAACCCCCCAAAACAGTAGGAAAATGGGAATAACTGTTTCACATTCCTAAATATGCCGTCCTGGGTATGACGATAAACTGCATCCGCGTCCTGGGTATGACGATAAACTGCACCCGCGTCCAGGGTAAGACGATAAACTGCATCCGCGTCCAGGGTAAGACGATAAACTGCATCCGCGTCCTGGGTAAGACGATAAACTGCACCCGCGTCCAGGGTAAGACGATAAACTGCATCCGCGTCCAGGGTAAGACGATAAACTGCATCCGCGTCCTGGGTAAGACGATAAACTGCATCCGCGTCCTGGGTAAGACGATAAACTGCATCCGCGTCCAGGGTAAGGCGATAAACTACGTCCAACAGCAAGGCCTATGATCAGGAGGTTTTGAGGACCGTGGAACCACCTATTAATTGATGGTGTTCCCAGGTTCACCTTGACCCGGGGTGGTAGCACCTGTTAGGATCCCATGGGGAAATATTTAACTATTAACCAGCAATACTTTTTTGAAAAAAATTATTGCCAGCAATGCAATTTTGAAGGAAGAATATTACCAAAAACAGATTTTTAACAAAACAAAAT